CTAATCATCATCTGATTTCAAAGAGTGCTATATATTGTCCCAACTATCATATTTCAAGGCTTGTCATCTTAAAAGGAACAATGGGATATGTACATCTCTTTAAAAATCAGTTGATATCACAAGTATTAACTTTTTCACTAGTGACAAAGACTGATAGTTCTCTGAATTTGATATGTTGTCTTTGCAGTACTTATAAACCTGTTCTGTTGTAGGTCTATGGTCAATAGTCTTTGACGATAGGTCTGTGTCTTCTAGTAAGTGAATCATGTAGTAATTCCCACCTGATCATTATCCAGACTCCTTTTAATATTCAAAATATGACTGCCAGAGAAGCAAAATATTTACAGGCACTGCTAGGAATTAATTCATGCTTTCTTTCGATTCTCTAATTGCATTGGGAGGTAACTTGCAAGTGTAGAATAGCAGTTATAGGCTAAAGGCCACAGATTGCATCATTTCCATTCAGGAGTATCTCAAAGCATTTCTTAATGGAGCATTTCTTAATGGAGATATTTATATAGTATTTCTTAATAGAGATATTTTACAAATTCAAAGCAACAAGAAAGAATATCATTGCCTGGTCTACCATTGAAACATTTAGACCAGGGGTGGGCAAACTTTTTGGCTCGGGGGCCTCATTGACTTTTAAAATTTGACAGACGGGCCACCACCTGGTGTCGAAATGCCTGTCATTACAAGTCAAAATCAAATGAATGCAATCATTCAATCATTCACATCAAACCTTAATTCTGTACCAATCTTCAGCGGGCCGGATTAAAAAGACCAACGGGCCGGATGTGGCCCACAGGCCGTAGTTTGCCCACACCTGATTTAGACCTTCAAACCCTTGCAATACCTTTTTTAAAATAATAATTGGGACAGATGCTTTTATAATAAATTGAAGAAAGATAAACTGCATTTTCAACCTGTGCATATTAATTTAGAAGCAAGTCATGTCGAAGAAGAAAGAAAAAAAAATGCTTAGCCAAACACCTAATGGAACAAATCATATCTTTGTTTTATATTGCATATATAGATGCCAATGAAATGTTCAGCCTCCTCTCCATATGCTAACAACTCCAGAGGCTTTTGGTGATTCTCTCTTTTGTATTCTTTTAACTTTATAGCATCCTTGAATTAGGGAGCTGTTAAAAAAAAAGGATGCTTGTTGAACAGAGAATTGTCCTTGGCCTGTCCTTCAAATGATTGAAAAGAGACACTAGCATTTGGCATTATACCAAGTTACATAAAATAAACAGTGTGTATGTATGTATGTATGTATGTATGTATGTATGTATGTGTGTGTGTGTATATATATATATATGTGTGTGTGTGTGTGTGTGTGTATGTATATGTATATAAAAATAAAGCAGGATTCTGTAGTGTGTGTGTCTGTGTGTCTGTGTCTGTGTTTATATATATATATAAAATGTGTGTCTATATATAAAATTAGAGAAGCCCCACTGTGTTCAATCAATGGAGCACAGTGGTAAGTAACTATGTTTAGGACTGAAATCTCAATGTGATCATTAAGTGTATGTCAGTACTATATGAACAAAAAGGTGGGATATGAAACAAATCTATTAACCCAAATATTTTCATTTAAGGAACCACACATATTGCCAAAAGACAAAAATAGAATCCCTATTCTCAAATGAAAATGTATCTCCCTGAGATTTTTTTTTTTTTTGCATAAGCATTGACAGAGAATTTTTAAAATGAATCACTGCTCAAAAACAGAATTGTTTGAGTAATTCATACAAGACTTTTTTCCCCCTCTCTCTTCCTGGGAACCTAGGGAAGTAATGAAATTAGTTTTCTTGTTAGAACAAATTTAAAAATCTATATTAAATTGAAAAGAAATACTGCTGTCTTTTAATTAAATAGAAAAGATATGCACTACATCCTTGCATAGTAATGGGCCAAAGCAGAACTGACTGATTGATTAGTATACTTTACTATTTTTAAACTTCCCTACAATAATAATTTTGTTTTCAATTGCAATTTCAGTCTAAAATAGCTTTATCTTGGAAAGAAACCCTAGAGTAGAATTGATAATGGCCTAGGTGTGCTCATAAATACTCTAAAGAGCATGGGCTTGTATAATAAAATTTCCAGATTTTTGACCTTGTTTCACCACATGAGAAAATAGTCCTGCCTTTCTTCATTTCACATGCAAGTTTCATCATCCCATCTTCATGTACGCACTCTGACTTTTCAAGAACAGTCATGAATGAATTATGACGCTAATGTTTCAACTCTTTCCTTTGTTCTCTTTCAGGAAGCAGGTAGAGAAGATGGGTGACTGGAGTGCACTTGGTAGGCTCCTTGACAAAGTCCAAGCCTATTCTACTGCTGGAGGAAAGGTGTGGCTCTCTGTCCTTTTCATTTTCCGAATTTTGCTTCTGGGGACCGCAGTGGAATCTGCCTGGGGAGATGAGCAGTCAGCTTTCCGATGCAACACTCAACAACCAGGTTGTGAAAATGTCTGTTATGACAAATCGTTTCCAATATCTCATGTGCGTTTCTGGGTGCTGCAGTTCATTTTTGTTTCTGTGCCAACCCTTTTGTATTTAGCACATGTCTTCTATGTGATGCGAAAAGAAGAGAAACTAAACAGGAAACAGGAAGAGCTCAAGTTGGTCCAAAATGAGGGAGTAAATGTAGACCTCCCTCTAAAGCAGATAGAAATTAAGAAATTCAAGTATGGGATTGAAGAACACGGCAAGGTCAAAATGCGTGGTGGACTGCTTCGTACTTACATCATTAGCATCATTTTCAAATCTATCTTTGAGGTGGCCTTTGTGATGATTCAGTGGTATATCTATGGATTCACTCTGCAAGCCATCTACACCTGTGAACGGGTACCCTGTCCACACAAAGTGGATTGCTTCCTCTCTCGTCCCACAGAGAAAACCATCTTTATTATCTTCATGCTGGTAGTATCCATCATATCTCTGACCCTCAACATTATTGAGATTTTTTATGTCACCCTCAAGAGCCTTAAAGATCGCATGAAGACCAAAAGCAATCCTTTCTCTCCTACCAGCGGCTTAAGTCCCTCCAAGGATTGTGGATCACCCAAATATGCCTACTTCAACGGGTGCTCCTCTCCAACAGCCCCCTTGTCTCCCATGTCTCCACCAGGATACAAGCTTGTAACTGGAGATAGGAACAATACATCATCCTGTCGCAACTACAACAAACAAGCCAGTGAACAAAATTGGGCAAACTATAGTGCTGAACAGAACAGGATTGGACAAGCTGGGAGTACCATTTCCAACTCACACGCCCAGAACTTTGAATTTAATGATGAGCCGGAGAGCACAAAAAAAGTGGGCTCTGGCCATGAGCTCCAGCCTCTCACAGTTGTAGACCGGCCACCAAGTCGAGCGAGCAGTCGAGCCAGCAGCAGACCACGACCTGATGATCTGGAGATCTAGCCCTTTGGAATTGCAATAGTCAATGCGACTATGAAATATGAATTGCATTAGCACGTGGCGTTCATGTGGTTCCCACGGAGGTGGTACTTTAACAATCTCAGCCAGGAGATTTTAACAAGCAATACATAATTATATATATATATATTAAAAAAAATGTTGATTTTTTTTTTCTGGTAACTGGGAAGCAGGGGTGATGTGAGGGAGAACAGCACATAGTGGTATTTAAAGTAGCTGGTTTAAAAGAAAACCTTAGTCAACACAAGAGTAGGGGAACTGGTTATTTGTTTTGTTTTAGAAAGATTATATAATGTCAGGAAATGTATGTCTATAATATGTTGATTTTTCTAAAATTCAATTTTGTTATACTAAAAAAAAGTTACACTGAAATAAATTTGTGGGGGGGACTGGTTTAGGATGAAATGGAGATATCATTCTTTTACTGAACAACTGGCAGCATTAAGTCAGATATTGATCATTTTCCTATTAAGAACATTCCATTGCTAAAATGTGCACTTTGGGACAATTTTCTGGGATGAACTTGTCATGCAGTTATTATCTGTTTCCCTGGAATCAAATCAATTACATTTCAGACAAGACCCACCCAATATATGTTAACCATTTTCTTCCTGTTTCAGATCTTCTAACCTACATTAAGGAATTGGTTCAAGGATTGTTCAGTTTTATTAAATTTCATTCTACCACTATTGCAAGATTCTACCGACTTGCATGCTACTCAAGGTCTTATTATTTTAGCTATGGTTGGGTGACCATCCTGAAACAACCCAGAAACAGTTTTGCAGATGATCAGAAAAACCATGGGTGGTTTGTTTTATTCTTGCTCTTTCCCCTCCTTTTAAAACCTTGGTTTTGCCATGTCTCTCTGTGAATGGGTTAGATGCTTAGGAGGGATATGAAACCAAATTGGGAATCAGCTAGAAACCACAAATGCATTTACGTGCATAATCATTTGAAGCTGTGTTTTCAATTAGCAAACCAACAATTTATGATTTCCAACTGTATTTTATTGCCCCCTGTTATATCCCATCCTACCACATAATAGACTAAGCAACAAACTGCAAAATGGCTCAGTGTCATGTGTAGACCCTACCATAGCATTCATTAATTGCTAGCTATAAAATGTAAAGCTGGACAAATGAAACAATTTTTGTCAGATGCAGTCATCTATTAGGTGCAAATCTTTTCACAGTTAAATTTCATCAGAAGCAGGTGATCGGACAACTGTGTGGTTGGAATCACAGCCACTATAACTGGAGTTATTTGTGGCTGCTATACAATAACTGGAGTTATTTGTGGTTGTTAAACAATCACACCGATGCACCCATAAAATGGTTAACTATTCTGGGTTATTATGGGTCACTATTGTGTTTACATTAAAAGATTCCAGCAGTTACAAACAAATCAGGTATTCTTTTAAAGAATTTCAATATTTCCATATATTTTGTAGTAAGTGTATTTCACAAATTAAGGATATTTTAAGAATCAAGTCCTGGTGGCTGTTGAAAAGCTTCCATTTGCATTCCAGCTACATATTTTGCCACAATAAAACTTGTCAGTAAAACATCCAAAGTCGCATATTTTTGCAATCAATTATCTTTCCTTAAGATTAAGGAAGAATTCTGCTTGTTTCTCCACCTTTTTTAAATTTATGCTTGAATAACTGATGGTAGTACTGGGAGAAGGGAAGATTGTTAGCCTGCCAATAATGTGAGAGACTTGAGGATAAATTACACATCCATATTGTGCAGTAACTGCAGTTATCATGTGATGGCTTGAGGGGTGGTGAAATTAATTATCTGCACTGCAACCTCATTGGATGGTGTAAATAGATCCTTACATAAACTGATTGAGCTGTACTAATAATCCCTATGCTGATTTTAAGATATCAAGAATGTTACACTTGCTCTTCACTTATAAGTTAGTTCAATGATAACATGGTTCAATTCACTTTTGATAGTCCATTTTTACAATGACAGTTTTAATATTTGCACACATTTTGTTGGGGTGTAAGTGAGGCTGAAAGAGTACAATTCTAATTTATTTGAAATATATACTAAGGAAATATACCAGTGTTTATTTGCCATTTTCAACCACAGTGCCTTTTAATTCAACACAGTTCATGCAGCCTCGGTTTCATTTTTCAACAACACAGATTTAAATGTTTATCTAATATGTTTTACTAAGTTGTTTGACATTCACTTTTAAAACTATTGTCAAGCTCATTGATTGCATGCATACTGCCATAGTTCATCAAATCACATTGTCTGGAGAACAAACCTTAGTCAATAAAGTTTAATTTAGTATAAACTGATTTGTCAATAGTCATTCTGTGTGTTGGTTTAACTTGGTATTAAGTGGGCAGTTTGGTCCATTTTCTGTGTTCTAAGTGGCATTTAAAAATGACAATCCATACAAAGCCATTTATTCATTGTTAGGTCAACTCACACATTACTAGTGTGCAACTATTCACATAGCCACTTATTAAGTAGGATCATTAAAAACATGTTGCACCATGTGAGATAAGCTAAACACTTGAAAAGCAGAAATGAGCAATTGTGGGAGGGCAGCTGGGAACACCTATTTTCATCTTTAGGTGTTAGGCCTTAATTAAGCTTTCAGACAATGCCTTAAAAATTATGTCATTTACATTTGAAACTAAAAACAGGGTGCTTCATTCAACTTTTATAATTCAAAATGAAAAGACTAAAAAACCGTAGTAAGACCACATCTAAAATACTGCATCCAGTTTTCGTCGCCACACTATAAAAAAAAAAGATGTTGAGACTCTAGAAACTAGAGTGCGAAGAAGAGCAACAAAGATGATTGGGAGACTGAAGACTAGAACATATGAGGAATGGTTGCAGGAACTGGGCATGGCTAGTCTAGTGAAGAGAAGGACCAGGGGAGACATAACAGTATTCCATTATTTGAGGGGCTGCCACAGAGAGGAGGGGATCAACCTGTTTTTCAAAGCACTCGTCTCTGAACACTAAGAATCAGAAATGGATTTTCCTTGCACTTAAACCTTATCATAACTTTAGAGGACTGCTTGCCTTTATCCTGGGAATTTGCCTTTATCCTGGGAATTTATAGTAGATAACTAAATCTCCCTTGAATACTACTTAAGTTATTTTCATTTCACATTCTTGGTATCTGTGTGGGAATCATGACAATAAAAACATCTCTAAATGCACAAGTTACAATGTTAGTAATGGATAGGAGCTTCTGTTTTCTGACTTTGTGATTACAGAAATTCCATGGAAGTCTCAGCTACAGATGTGGTGTGATCACATCTTCACGCTACAGCAACACAGTTGGCTGTGATACAACACTTTCTCAGGTTTGGAGGAGAAATACATATCATTCCAGTTTACAAAGTAGTTGTCACAGATATCTATAAGTGAAATGGCACAATCCTGGAAAAAAATGAAAATCAATTAGCTTTGGGAATGCAAAAACAAGCCATTAATACCATAAAGTTGGAAGGACCCGTGGAGGTCTTCTATAGTGCACCCTCCAATAGTGCACCCCTCATACCACTTCTGAGAAATAGTTGTCCAATCTTTTCTTGAAAACTATCTGTGATGAAGGACCCACAACTCAGGTAGGCAAGCTGTTCAACTGCTTAGCAGTTTTCAGTGTCAGGAAATTCCACTCATTTCCAGATTGGATCTCCCTCTGATAAGTTTCCACTCATGCTAGTGAGTTTGTAAACTCTTTTGTTTTATTATACTTATTATTCCATTCGTGCTAGTTTGTAAACTCTTTTATCATGACTTGGCACAACATGAAACTACAAAACTAACCACAGGTAAGGAACCAATGGCTTTCCAGATACTGCTGAATTACAGCTTCTGAACATCTTGAAGATCCATGTCTTCTCTATCCTGAAAAAAAGTTTCTGGCAAGACATTTGTTTTGAAACTCAGAATTCTGGTCATTCAAAAATAGACATTTCTGTCATTGTGTCCTCATTGTTCCTTCTGCCACTCCTGCTTACAGAACAACAGACCATGCCGATATTTCTCCTCTTGAGAATTGCAAAACATTTCAGAGGAATACAGAGGCACTGATTTTTGGCTTTGCAGAACATTTTGTTGAAATTGTTTTGCAATACTATGGTATATTTTTACAGCTTTTAATTTTATCCAGTTTCTTACATGAACTCTATAATTTTCCCCCAAAGGGTAGATTACTGTTTAAAACAGGGAAGGTCTTTAACAAGTCCATTCTAGATTTAAACATAAATGAGCACAATATGTTCTAATGCATAAAGGCCAGCAGGTTCAGCTTCTATCCATTACCTGATTGCAGATACATGCAAATCACAATAGGGAAAGGATCCAATTACTGACAAAGGATAATCCACAAACTAGCATAAATATTACAGAATATTTTGCAACCTTTTAAGATTTCGGCTTTTCTCTTTCTTAATTTGGCAAGATAATATTTAAAAATAATCAGAAAACTATTAGGAAAGATGCTGATATGTGAAATTTCTCAGGACTAGGTTACAATCTCAGTGCAGATTACCATCTTGAAGTGTCTAAAGACATGGCCCATTCGATCTTATCAAGGTCAGAAATGAAATCCAGTTATTCCAAAGGTTTCCCAAATCCTTATGGGGAGGGGAAAAATCACCAAATCATTTTGGTCACCACATTGGAAAATATATAATCCATTTTTAAGATAGATGCTACAATATTTCCAGCCTTAAGTCAAAAGGAGGAATGGAAGAGAACTAAGTCTGACTGTTATAGACTCTGATGACTAGACTTTCAATACAGAGATAAAGGCATAGCATATTAAAAAGGAAAAAAAGCAGAAAAATAAAAGGGAACCTTGAGTATCTGCCAAAGTAAGTTCCTGAACCTCTTATTTAATTACTTTATGTCTTTGACTGATACCCTGCTGCCCTTCAAGAGCTCACTATTATATATAGCAGTGGTTTTACAATCTGTAAATTTCAACTCCCAAAGTTCCTAAGCCTGCATGGCTAGCTCAGGAATTCTGGGAGTTGAAGACCACAGGTCATTAAAGGGGCCATAGTTCCCCATCCTTGGTATACAGAATAGGTTTTTTTTAAACACATATATATGAAATATACAAATGTTATTCTCACAACATGAGTTAGTTCCAGTTCCAGTGAGTTATATTGCTCGAGTGGGATAATCGTGTCTCTTAACCATTAGTGGATTGAGTGGGATAATCCTTTCTCCTAACCATTAAATCTACTGGTTCTTGCTTGCCAACCATTTTATATGAAAGGTATGAATTGCTGGAATCCTTGAGAATATTTCTGAATCTGATTCCTAAGATGTATTAAGGCTTGATGTCATCATAGAATTCATCTAGGACCTACAGGCTAATGGAAAGCACCATTTACTTCACTATCAAATGCCTTTTATTCAGGATCAACTATAGTAAGAAAGATTTAATTACATATGATAATATAGTGCATCCAGACTCAGGAAACAGGTTAAAGATACAGCAGTTCCTGCTCAATTAAGATAGTAATTGAGCAGAGATTGCTGGATAAATAAAAAAGTAATCTCAACAGTGGTGGGATTAAAAAAAACTTACTACCAGTTCTGTGGGTGTGGCTTGGAAGGTGTGGCAGGGGAAGGATATTGTAAAATCTCCATTCCCACTCCACTCCAGGGGAAAGGTTACTGCAAAATCCCATTCCCTCCCTATCCCACTAACCTGCTTTCCAACTCCTTTCTCCAGTGCAGGGCAACAAAAGAGGACCCAGCCAATCAGCTGGGACTTGGGAGGCAGAGAATAGATGGGACGGGGCCAGTCAGAGGTGGTATTTGTCGGTTATCCAAACTACTCAAAATTTCTGCTACTGGTTCTCCAGAACTGGCCAGAACCTGCTGGATCTCAAGAAAAGAGGAGGGAAAAATGACAGAATTTGAAACATTTTTACAAACCCAAGATCATCTATTAGTGTGAATATATATATTTCTGTATTGTTATAGAACAAGACAAAAATTATATGATGAAGTAGATGCAAAACTTCAAATAATCACAACACTAGGAAAAGCCAAGAAATACTCCAAAGTATAATTTAAGATAAAATTGGTATAAAATGTTTTCACATATGATATATAACACTATCAAAGAATACCTAGACAGATCATATAACAATAAATGGTAGAAATGCCATATCAAAAGGGACATTTTATCATATATGGTGGCTGTGTAAAAAAAGCTCAAAAGTACTGGAAAGAAATACTTCAAAATATTCAGAAAATTGCAAAAATAAAATTTGAACTTAAGCCACAAATATTTTTATTAAGTTTAAGTCCAGAAAACATTAATGAAAAATATTAAGCTATAGGCTGACAGCTGAAAGAAAATATTTGGTATATCGAAAAAGAGGAACCTGTTGACAATATTAGTCTGGGAGATAAAAATTGGAGAATACATACAAATGGCAAAATTAACAGTAGACAAGTCAATTCACAAAATACAACTCTAACCAAATTTAAGCAGCAATGCTGTCTGATATACTACAGATAACATAGCAAAGCAAATTTATGTCTCTGGAATATAGTTTAAAGAAAGAAAATTATGAGACAATAAAATATAAATGAAAAGATTTGAAAATATACTAGTAATATAATCTTCAATGTTCAGCATATAGAATAAATATCTAGGTTGTAGTAAGAAACAAATATAAGAGGAAAACATGTTACTAGAAAGTTTTCTCATAATGTGTTTTACGTATACTTAGGAGTTGTTGTTTTTCTTTTATATTACTATTGCAATAAAAATATCTTTAAAACAGACAAACCCTTTCCTCCATTTATTTCCTAAGCTGCAAAATCATTTAGTGTTTATGAACCTTGACTGAAACATACTAAGGAGGTCATAATTAAGAGCACACCTGAACTTCCGGTTTGTCGGCTTCGCGAGCGGCAGGGATTTGCGAAGCTGCGCGATCCCTGCCGCGCTAGCCGTTTTTGGGGCTCCGACCCAGCCGGGTACGGAGCTAGGCTGCCCTGCAGGGGCAGCTGAAGGTAGGGGGGATCCGGAGAAGGGACTGGGG